TCTACCTCCTCCTCCTCTCTCTCTCTCTCTCTCTCTCTCTAAATAAATATAAATAAATGCCAAAACAATGGAATGAAATTCCAAAATAAATGGAATCAAATTCCAAAATTTCCTATGAACTAGGTACCAGGAAACCATAGAAAACCATGCCTTCATATGTATTTTTATTCTTTCACATGTCATCAATGGATAGATAATAAGGAAAAGATTTATATAATGTTCCAAACCAATATAAAATACAATAGAAAGTACACCTCAACAATCCAATAGAAGGTACACCTCAACAATCCAATAGAAACTAGTATTTTGAATTTGGACAACCGTCCAATTTATCATCTCAATCTCAAGTTGCATTGATATTGATAAAAAAAAAGAGAAATAATATGAAATCTTAAAAAATAGTGCATCTTATAGCAAGTTATGAACCATCTATTTTCAAGATTTTCAAGTGTTTATAAATCTACTTGATCTACAATATTTTTTGAATTTTAAAATTTATAATTAAATTTGATTTAAGATTTTCAAACTACCGTAAGTTTCCAAACACCAAAACATATTCTAACAAAATTTAGAGGTATACCTTATTTATACAACCTTACTCATATACGCATTGTGGATCAACTACCCTAACCACCCAAACTTCCAGCACATTACTAAAAAGCTACAGCCAAGCACATTCTTAAAAGGTTAATACCAAGGATGAACCTATGATTACGTTTCACAACAGTTATCATTTCCAAATTGAAAAAAAAAAACAAAAAAAGCATTCGCTCACTTGAATGGAAGTACATTTTACACCTACTCCTTGAAAAAACACTTATAAGAGGATTTTTTATAGGAAAAAATTTATATAGGTTTGCAAATAGAATTAAGGGAAATTATTGTAAATATACTTTAATTTTAATTTAAGCTTAATTGAAAAAAAAAACTAAAACTTTTGTTTACCTCGTCTACACCATTTTTCCTCATAGTCGGCTTTTTTTGGACCAAAATGACCTTTATGGTACTCTTACTACCATAATACATATCATTTTATACGGTATTTAAAATACCATCGTAACTTCAAGTAATATTATATTACCTTAAGTGCCGTAAAATTCTGGACATGGCCGTAAAGCCAATTACAGTACTTTAAGTACCGTAAAAGCTAATACTCATTATAAGCTAAAACTCATTATACGACATTTTAAGTACCGTAAAAACTAACCCATCTTATACAACACTTAAAATGATGTAAATCTTGTTCTCATTATGATTATCTATTTCATCTCTACTTCATTTTATATTTATCTATTTTTTCTCTCTATAATTCTTTTTAATATTATCTTTTCTTTCTCTATCTAATTCTTTGTTATCTCTTATTTCTCTCTCTACAATCTTTTTAATATTTATCTCTTCTTTCTCTATCTAATTATTTATTATCTCTTATTTCTCTCTCTACAATCTTTTTAATATTTACCTCTTCTTTCTCTATCTAATTCTTTTTTATCTCTTATTTCTCTCTAAAATCTCATCATCATTTCCTTAGATAGATCATGTCCTTAGTTTTATCCTCAGTTTGGCATAGCTGAAATCAAGGTTTGATTACTCTCTCTAAGGAAACGATGATGAGATTGTAGAGAGAGAAAGACTAGATAAATATTAAAAAACATTAGAGAGAAAAAGAAGATGAACATAAAAATAATTAAATATTTATCTCTTTTTCTCTATCTAATTCTTTCTTATCTCTTATTTCTCTCTCTACAATCTCATCTAAGCTAATTCTTTTTTATCTCTTATTTTTCTTTCTAAAATCTCATCATCGTTTCCTTAGATAGATCATGTCCTTAGTTTTGTCCTCAGTTTTGCATAACTGAAGTCAGTGTTTGATTAGTATCTCTAAGGAAACGATGATGAAATTGTAAAGAGAGAAAGAAAAGATAAATATTAAAAAGAATTAGAGAGAAAAAAAACAGATAAACATAAAAATAATTAAAGATAAAAGAGATAAACGAAATAAAATTTACAGCATTTTAAATGCCATATAACATAGGTTAGTATTTACGGTACTTAAAATGTCGTATAAAGGTTAGTGTAAGTTTACAGCACTTAAAGTACTGTATAAAATGCCCTCAGTATTACAATACTAAAAGTACACTATAAAATCCCCTAAATATTACGATAATACGCCTACCGTGAAAATCATTTTGATACAAAAAAAAGAACCGAAAATGAGGAAAAAGAGTACAGACAAGATAAACAAAAGTTTTGGGTTTTTTTCTAATTAAGCTTAAATTAAAATATATTTATAATAATTTCTCTAGAATTAAAGATGCACATCAAAAATCTATCTGTTGGCAAACCCTATAAAAAGGTTATTTAATGTTGAAAAACCCTCTAATTGACCATCTCAACATTGAGATGTTTGAATATGAAAAAAAAAACTATTTTAAATCATGAAAATAGTGCATCTTGCAACATAGTATCTGTCCATTTTCAAGATTTTCATATGTTTATAAATTTATTTAATTTTAACCATTTTTGGAGTTTCAAAGTTTATAATTAGATGTGAAAAGAGATTTTGAGATAATTTTAGAGGTGCACCTTAATAGGATTATTTAAGGCTGCAACCATATCCCTTTTTTATATTCTCCAATTTAAAAACCTCAAACCATTTTTAAAACCCTATCCATTTTTAAGACAGAAATTGATTTCGTGTTGCTAAGCATATGCATTCAAAAATTGGAAATTCTCTATGCGACACTGTGGTGTTACTAATCAGGCAGATATATAGTGTATCACTTTTTTCAGATTATTCATAAAGTTGAGAAGGTTAATCCCCAAAACTTGAGGTCCTAAGAATACTCTTACACCGCCACATGAGCAAGTGTAGATTTTGATCCTGGAGGAGCATATAACGTTCTCACTTCAAAAAAAAAAATACTAGTTTTCTTCTCAAATGAATAATTTCCTAATTCAATGGATTTCCAGAAGAAAAAAATTAATGGGAAAAATTTAAAAATAGTAAGAAAAAAGGGAGAGGCTTTCTAGTTCTCCCTATATTACACATGAAGATCACCAAGTCCGCATTCAGCCAAAATTTCTGAAACTAATTCATAAAAAATGAATCAATTTCACTTGGCCAAAAAAAAAAAAATTCATCATTCTCATAATGTCTCCAAAATTGCAGAAAATAGAAACGCTATCAAGAAGAATGCCTCAGAAATAATAGAGGCTGGCCAAACAAATCAAAAAATCAGTTAGCATGAGGCCGATGGCATCGAAGACATACTTTGGAGCAAATAATCCCCACACCTGCAAAAACATAAAATAATCAGACAAAGCAATTTCAACTGTTCAAAGAACCAAATATCCGAAAGCACAGCCTTCATCTATTTACTATCTTGACACCCAAAAAATGCCTAACAACTATAATTGGTCATACTATTTCTGTTGCCAGATATCTACAATGTTCTTGAGAACTTTCTACAAATAAATTCACAAGTTAAAGAAAGCTACTAACCATCAGATGCCTTCGTTGAATCAGCACACATATTGTCGTGAAAGTGGCTGTAATAGCAGAAATGAGCCCATAAATCAAGAATACCTGAAATCGTTATATTGTAAAAGGAGCACTATTGGTCATATTTTGATAAACTAATGGATATAACATAATAGATTGATAACAACTAAGTCTAGTATATTTAATACCAATAAGAAGCTCGTTAAGGGGAAGCAATGCACTTTTGCTACAAAAGCGCATCTACAAAAGCACATCACAGTATCTAAACTTTTTTTGGGTCTTCGAGAATGTTTCCTGCTGCTAATATAGTTCAACTTTATAAATGCACAAGCTGTAAATTGGAAGAATTTTTCTTCTCAACAAACAGTGGAAGATTAACTTTCTCCGCATTTCATTTAGTACAGGTTATGCAAAATCTTTTTATGGCACTACTGATTAATCTAGCATAGCTCCTCCTGACTCGTAACACAGGAATTAGTCACAACTGATGATCCAAATACGCCAAAACTCTAGAGCATATTAGCATGCTCCCTCGAGAGAATACTGTATATTTATACCCTCATATGAAAACGCTACTTTGGAGGGTTTTCTTATCTAAAATCTTGGGACCCATCTAAGCATATATCATTAGACGATTATTTTCACAAAAAACAAATTTTGGATTTCATCTGACCATCCCAAAATTGGACAGTCTCTATTCAATCTTTGGATGTTGAACAATCATGTTAGTCATGGTCTTACATACCCAAAATTTGGGGTCCTAAACACACTCCCAGATTCGGTTTTATCCTAGGGAGTGAATGAAGGAAATGCTTCAGCAGGTGCATAGAATCTTTTGACGTAACTGTTTTCCAACCATATGAATCACATAGTTTAGACCAGCCCGATAATGCTTTACTACCTCTCGCCCCTTTTTGAATATGGATTCTTGAACAATCATGTTAGTCATGTCCCTAGAAGTTTTGGACCTAAGTCTCTCCTGGCGTACGGTGCATCGTGATAGCATCTCTTGCCATTGCACAGATGAAAACCCCACTACCCACTCACAGCATCAAAGTATCGGTTCCTAATGTTTTTTAGCGTACCTAAAATGCAGAGGAGCCGGTTCTAAAGGTTTCCTTTAGCTGTGTATTCCCAATCCAGTCTGCAATCCTACCCGATGATGTCGTATAAAGGATATTTTAAATATGGAAAAAACAAGAGAAGCATTTTTTTAGAAACATTAGGAACTGTAATGTCACTCCCGTGAGTAGGCTATGAGTAGTTCCTATATGCAAGAGAAGTATGAAAGAAAAAAATATTCCAGGTTGCATGCGTCTATTTTGTGTTCTCATTGAATTTTCCCTGTATAGTATGCTGGTTACCAGACAAGCAGCTTCAACTATCCAGCTGGTTAACATAATTCATGCTCAGAGGGGGTCACAATGTAGCATTCATGAATTGTAAAGTAAAATTAAGAAGAGGTGTCAACAGAATTATTATTAAATCACCACGGCATATCATAAATTCATAATTTGCTTGACCTTACGGGACCAACACCAGCATGTTAGTTGAAGGAACTGAGAATTCTTAAAATGAAAGATAATTCACCCAAAACAATAACAATTCTGTACGGACATGAACAAACCAGACTAGCAAATTGATCCAGTAAGTACCTGAGTTAGTTTAGAGAAAAATACAGCCCTTCCTCTCTTATTATGAACATATGGACCCTCGAATGTGACGAGCAAAGGAAGGCCAAAAATAGGAAGTATGTGAGAAATGCCAAATGTATCAACAAAAAGAAGGATCCCTTGCCGAACAATATTGAAGTCATCAAACCTGAAGAATGCAAAATGTGGAAACATCAGATATTTTGTTTGTAACGTTGCTTACTAAACAGGATCTTGATTACGTCAAAGTTCAAAGAAAGAAAGAACCGTGGTAAAAGCTCAAGATTCCAAAAAAGCTTCACAATAGATTATATTCAACTTATGATGATGTGGTATGCAACAAAAGAGCACAGGTTTATTGAGACACTTAACCAACACTCACCCAACAAATGCTGCACCATACCGTAGGCCATCAAAAGTGCATCTGCAAAATTATTGAGCATGCATTATTTACAAGAAGCAATATCAGAAAGTTGGTTTCAGGTTGTTGAGCTAAGGAACAGGCAAGTGAAAAATTCCTACAAATACTCCCAGCAAGGAAAAACTAAGGCCTCATTTGTATGCGGCCCCAATACACACTCTAGAGCTTTTGAGGGGCCGTTTTAAGTGAAGGACCATTTGTGGTGCAGGTTGTCTCTTTAAGTACCAACATGGAATCCCAAGTAGCAGTCAGTGCACTCACAAAATGCCACTGTTTTTTGAATGAGATGAGAACTGGATTACCAGTTTTCATCCAACTAGAAAAACGGTGGTGTTTCATGGGTGCTTTGACCACCACTTGACCAAAATTCATATTGGTATGTGGTGTCCGCACTGGGGTTAAGATATTTATCTGAGATTGTATACTGTGAGACCATTTATCTTACAAGGAGGTCACAATTAATTTTAGTCATTAGCTGTCAAATTGAATGGCTTGGGGTGTGTCACAACATTCGAGAATTTTTTTTTTAAACTTAAGAGTATAGTCAATGACATTCTTATAACCACTAGATTTAAAATCTGATAGATAAGAGTGATTGTGAGCTCTTTGTACCAAAAGTAAGTGATCTCTTTGTATACTTTTCCTATTTATTTTATGAAACTGTACCATCTGTGCCTTTCAAGTTCTGCATAAAAGTAAAATAAAAAAAATAGTGTATAAGGAAATAACAAATAGAGGTCATCACATATATCACAAAAACTCAAGAGATTTGTGGAGACCATGTTGAGAAAATGGATAGATCAATAGACCTACTCAATAAAAAAGATTAAAAAGAATGTGACCATTAACAATTGGGAATATTCTACAGAGAAATCAATTAAAAAATGTCAAGAATGATACATGTGAACGATACAATCTCAAAATGCAGAGCTCTGCATGGAAATAAATGGCATTGCATAAAAAAGGAAAGGAATATACACAAAAATAGGAAGCTAAAATCATGGAGCAAGGAGACTGGGATACATCACAAAAATCTTACCTGTGACCTGCACAAAAGAACAAACTCACGGCCAGGAAGCACCATTGTGTCACTGGAAGAGGGTCATATAGCATGTCATTGTTTGTATTCTCTAGCTTTTCCTTCTTCTGTGCCACCTTCTGTGACCTAATTATACACCATCCTGTCATGAAAGAATCAAATTAGTAATCAAAAGCATAGGATCAATTATGGAGAGAAGTTTATCATGTTATTGAGGAAGAGTAGAAATTAGAAAGGACACACAAACAACACACGTCCAATGCGAATTTGGGAGTAGACATTCTTGTGTTCTTTTTTGTACTGTACGCGACCCTCACTAATAAATTACAGCCATATCATTATTTCCACAGGTTAAAAGCACATGCAGATTCACGAAAAGGCATGGTCCAAGTGAAAAAAATTATACAAATATACAGCCAAGTGCAAATTAATTTACTCTAGGGAAGAGTCAAGTACCTTCTAGAATGGATATCAAAGCAATTCGTGGACCTTGTCTCCCCAATAACATCAAGATTACTAAGCCCCATGCTGTTAACATGGTTATTGCAGCAATATGTATGTCTCCTGTACATTTTGAAGTCCCCTCTTTCCTCTCAAATACTAGACAGCATGCCAACAATAGCAGCAAACCAAAACCAACTGAATAAACCACCAGGGGAAGTAAATTTTTCTCAAATGAAGTAATCCTTGGTATAGCCACCACGTTGCTTTCTAAAACCCAGTACACTGGAATGAGGATATAGCTCAGAATCACGAGAGGAAGAAAGCCATATTTCAAAATCCTCCATTGAGAGCTAACAGTAGTACACTGGAAGGACCGGAAGACCAAGAAAGCTAGAACACTTATTGGCATGACTTCGGTAAACAGCATCCAGAAAAATTGGCCCATGTCACTGACGTGTACATTTACAGATATGCTTGTAGATGCTGGAGTGACATCCTTTGAAAATCCATTTTCCCCCGTGAACCCGAGTACAACATTTAGTAAAAGAAAAGAAACTGCCTGCAAAACTCCCATAAAATGGATAACATCTTAATGTAAAAGTTTTGCATCAACCAACACATTTATATCCTAGGAAAAAATATATGGCATCAGGATAGGCAAAGTGCATATGATTACTGATGAGGAAACTAAATTAGAGATACACTCACAACTAATACTGTTGACTCCTCCAGAAGTACCTCCTTCAAATTAAGCACACCAATTGTAGCCAAAAGAAAACGCGCTACACTTCCTTCTGTCACTAATCACAGAAGATTAAAAGAAAACTTAACAGCTAGCAGGCATTACTTTAGTGGTTACCATTTAACCATTTATTCATGGAAAACCTAATACGTCTGAAATTATTAAAAAAACAAACATGTGAGAGAACTTACAGATGTAACTGTTTGAAAGCAAACTGAATGCACGTATTGCCACCAAAAAAAGAGCAATCATACACTTCATAGAATATCCTTGCTCCCCTGTGGAACATTCTTTTCTAATCTTTTCTGAATAGTGATTGCTCGATGAACCCTTCTTATTTACTTCAGAATCAACATTCCAATCTGAACCACTCCCTACATTACACCAAGATAGCACCAAAAAGCCAATGGCCAATAAAAGCACCAACCAACTGACAATGTAAACAAAGGTCTGCTCATTTCGAGCAAATATTGCACTAATCACTAATATACTTTTCATCAACTGGTCAGAAAATGCATAAAGCACTAGCCCGAAAATCACAGCCACTGTCATAAAGCTCAGGACTTTGTTACTGTGTGGTTTCTCAATAAGGCCACAGTTGCTTCCTTTTATAACCCAGATCTGATTTCTTGCCCTCTTGATAAATGAAAGGTGGATCACAAGTGAGACTATTAAAATGCTGAGTCCAATGCCCATCATCATTGCATCAAACTGGGTCCACTTCGAACGAGCAAGCTCAGAAACTTTCTCCAGGAAATCTTTGTATGCATCAATTTGAGCTTGGAGAATAGAAATTTTAGTTTGACAGGTTCCATTACCCATTTCCTCATTCAACAAGACTTCTTTTTGTGTAACATTAGGCCAAGTAGCTTGTGCTTGAGCATATAGATTTTCTACTTGAAGGAGGTCTTCAGCTGGAAATCCAAAAATTGATGAAGTGGAGTACTGATTGATATATCTTTTCACCTGGGAAGCACCAATAATTATCAGTCTTATTGGTGACTGCAACTAAGATCATCAGTAACAGAATAGCAGCCTATAATTTTCACAAGCAAGAAAATTATTTTAAAATTTTTTACCACTTTTAATTTCAAAGAAAATGCCGAAATGGTTACCCGTTAAGAGAAAACCATTAGCCTATCAAAGTAATGGAAAAGGCCTTTAAAGTTCAAAAGAATGTTTGTCTGTTTCCACGAGGAGCTTATCTCAGAGTTACCTTGACAATACATTCAGAACCACCTTAACTAACCCAAAATAAAAAAATAAAAATACAATAAAGAGCAGATTGAAACTTTTGCTAGATAAGGTCAGCAAGAGAGACAGGGAGATTAAAAAAGGTAAAGTTATGAATTAACTACACAATAACAAATAATTTTTACCTGCCAACTATTGATACAAAGAACAGCAGCATACTGTTGCATCCACAACTCCAAATTTGAACAGTATGCATTTTTGCTTGTAGTAGTTATAGTAGTGGTGCCTTGGTCAGTCCATGTATTGGCAACTAAAGCATATAATTCAGGATTTACATGCCCAATACTGCAAATAAGAAAATGAGGGAAAAAGGAAAAAACAAATCAATTAAAAAACACAATACCAAAGGAAAAGGCCAATGGTGTTATGATAAAGGAATAGAAGCAAGTCATGCAAACAAGAAAAGTAATTCCATAAATAAATAGGCAAAGGACTTCAAGATAATACCTTCCAAAAGGAAAAGGAACACCCATAAGAGCTGCCACTGTTGCTGCAAAATCAAGCTGTAATGATGCCAAAGTGAAACGGAGTAATTATCATTTGCTCAGAAGCGTCTATTCCTGTAGCTAGGCATCAAACAAAATTCTTTAAAATATCTAACAAGAAACCAAAGCTGGAAAAATAACCTGTTCAACAGAGCTGATGCACATTTTCCTCCCGTCCTAGTAATCATAATGCATATAATACAGACCGTCAGCTAAATGAAGATATCCAAAACTCTAGGAGTGTAACTGTTGACAATTGGTTTTCAAAATAAATGCCTTCTATCAAATAATTGTTCAGGAAGCACAATGAAAATTTTTAAGTAGACAGATGATCCACATGAAATCATAGATAAATCGGGATAGAAGCCCGGAAATGCTGCCAAACTAGAAATCCAGCACAATTGCACAAGATCAATAATGATAGTTTTAGACACTTAATACTCATCCCAGTGTCCACTAATTCGAGGATTCCATCAAAGACAGCATATCATCATCATCATTATAGCCTTTTCTCAATTAATTGGGATCGGCTACACGAATCCTGGTCCGCCATTCTACTCTATTAAAGGTCATACCCTCATTGAAGCCAGAAGTCCCCATCAATGTTCAAAAAGACGGATTCGGGCACCTAGGTGGTTTGGGTGCCTGGCCACCTAGGCGGTCGGGCGGCCTCCTAGGCGGACACCCAGAGACAGGGTGCCCTCATGAAATTCAATCCCCCCACCCCAAACATCGTCCAAGTGAGATACAAATTCAATTAATTACCAAAAAAATCAATCTTTTAACTACAAATATGTAAATATATCGTAAAAAGAAAAAAAAAAAAAAAAATTAAAATAAAAAACACATGATTCATAACATAATATGTTATAGCAAAATAAAATCAAAACCCTCTTTCAAATATGATAATATTTTAAAAATATCAAAATCAAATCGATGTCGGTGCCAACCTCGTCTATTGGGTCGCCAAAAATTATCAAAATCAACTACTAGAAGCTCCAAATCCACCCACGAACAATTGCCTTCGTTTTAGGAAGAAATCGAAAAATAAAAAATTTATTGATCCTTCGATAAATCACAAAATAGTGGTTTTTGAGAGGTTTTTCTCACCCTAAAGGCCACGGATTTTCTATTGGGGGTTTAGAATACCCCCTAAAACCCTTTTTCCCCCTTTATAGGGGAAATTACATTTTTACCCTTACTAAGGGTTTTTTTTTTCTGTCCACACATAAGTTGTCACGGGGCGGTGCCTACGTGGTGCCTTGACCGCCTAGGTGGGTGCCCAAAAATATGGCACATAATGACCCCGCCCAGACTGCGCCTAGGCGTTTTAAAAAAATTTTGCCTAGGCTGTCAAGCGGCCGAATTTTCGAACATTGATCTCCATATCTTTTTGGACTACTTTCAACCACGTCTTTTTAGGCCTACCCTTTGCTCTTTTCAGTCTTTCCACTTGAACTAACTCGCACCTCCTAACAGGTGCACTTAGTTGGTGTCACACTAAAATTCTCCCGAATAGGTTCATTTTAAATTCTATCCCTTCTTGTCTTATCACTCATCCATCTCAACATCCTCATCTCAGATACACTCATTCTATGGGTATATTGTTTTTTGTCTACCCAACATCCCGCCCTATAAAGCAAAGCTGATCTCACAACTGTCCTATGGAGCTTGCCCTTCAGCTTCATTGGTATACATCGATCACATAAAATTCCAGTTACATATCTCCACTTCGCCCACCCAGCTCTAATTTTGAGTGCGACATCTTCTTCAATCTCTCCATTTTCCTAGATTATCGACCCAAGATATTGAAAGTACGGTCATTTTTTTACTTCTTGGCTGTCAATCTTAACTACTTCCTCGTCTCTACTCATATTATTACTAAACTTGCATTCCATATACTCTGTCTTAGTCCTGCTAATTTTAAAACTTTTGGATTCTTGGACATCCCTCCAAAGTTCTAACTTTGTGTTGACACCGTTACGGGTCTCATCGACCAAAACTAGGTCATATGCGACCACCATGCACCACGGTACCTCATCCTATACGTGCCTAATTAAGTCGTCCATAATTAAGACAAAGAGGTATGGGCTCAATGCTGACCCTTGATAGACCTATGGTCACTGAAAACTCACTTGTCTCTCCACTAGTTGTTCGTACACTAGTTAGCGCTCCATCATACATATCTCTCACCAAGTCGATGTAATGTCTGGAGCCTCCTTTCTCTTCCAATACCCGCCAAATCAAATCTCAAGGTACTCTATCATAAGCTTTCTCTAGATCAATAAGGACCATGCGGAGATCAAATACAGCATATATGCAAGCAAATCACCAACATCTGAACATGCGTACCATGGAACACCCATTACAAGATTTGTGCAACAGTGAATCACCATTTAAATTCCGCAAACACCATTTCCATTATTCTTCTGTTATTGTCAATTGTACTTCAGAGTTTTGCAAGATAAACATGACAATTTCAGGTAAAGTTCTAACTACAGAATCCCATGACTTGACTCGTATCTCAATCTAATAAGCTTATGAGTTAAACTGACATGCCAAAGTCAACCTATTCATGATGAACTGCTGCACCCATTCCCAAGGAAAAACTTAATGGGGCCAGCCCATTCCATTATTAGGCCCTTAACAAAGAAAAAAATTACAGCTGAGGTGTTATTAATTTTGTGTAAAAAAACTCTTAAGTGGGTGCACCCTGAAAATATATTGGGTCCAGGACAAATTAGGATACTTCATAAAAGAAAGAAAAAAATTACCATATCTAACTCGCAATGAGAGGTGTCAAAAATGGATGAAATTGGTGGAGGAAGTTGTTTCAAGCTCATTGCAAAAAGTGATGTTTCAACCTGCAAAACATACAATCAGCAACAGAGCAAGAAAACCAATTCATAACCAAGACGATAATTACGAAAGTCAAATGGTATCCACCTCTTCAGCAGTTCCTCCACCATGATCACCATTCAAGGTCTGGCCATGATCTCCTATAACAAGAAGAAATGTATGTTCATGTAAACCTCCAGGTCCAGACTGATTCTGCAGTATCTCTACAACTTCCTGAGAGAAAAGACAAAAAGTTATATTCCAGTGCCTGGTCTATGGCCTGTGACCTGTTATGGATGGTAAACTAAAAATGGACTGCCTCAATAAACACAAAAGTAGAAGGTCAAATCATATATTCAAGCTTGTCAAAACCCACTAAAGATGTTAATATACTCTTGAAATCTCTGCTTCATGATATCCTTTAATAATTATATTTTACCAAAAGATTTCAGAGGTAAGTCATCATGATTTCAAAGTATCTGTTTACCCCTGGTTTAGCTACTTTTTCTATTTCAGACTCTCCTAATTTGACATCATAAGTTACACGTACAACCCGTGAGTTGTTCATCCTTCATTTTGTGTTGTAATGGCCTATTTTCTTTTGTCGACAATTAAATTCCAAGTAATACAGTGTAATGCTTTGTTGACCATATCTCACTATAATATATTATCATTTGAATATGAAAAAACTTAGATAGAAATATAAAATCTTAGATGGTAATGTAACACAGCATATAGAGCCTACCTTGAGAACTTCATTGTATTGATCCAATTTTTCTAGCATGGGGGTGGAATCCACGCCAAATATATGACCCGCATGATCCTGCATCAGGAAATAACTGAAACAAATCAAATTTCAGTCACCAGCAACGCAATGAAAAAAAAAAATGAAAAGGTTGAACAAAGAAATATCTTCCTTGGAATGTAGAAGAACGAATTATTATCTAATAATCAGCTGATAATTTATAAAATTGAGATGCTCCTGACAAGATGATCTCCAAATGAAAATGACCTAGCCATGATGCAAGACAAAATTATTCTTATTTGTTTAATTCAAAGGATATATATTTGGAAAAAGTTTATGTAGAGCCAAGGATCTAAACAATCAAAATTGAGCCCACCTCAAAAATTTCACTAGAAGAGGTTGTGCCCAAATATCCTCAAATTGATCATCTCGATATCAAGATGCAAGAACATTAGAAAAAAATGGATTTCAAATTTTGGAAATAGTGCATCTTGTAACACATTTTTGGACCGTCGATTTTCAAGATTTTCCATGTTTTCATAGATCTGCTTTTCTAATTAAAGAAGAAAATATATTTTATGGCTATCACAAAGATTTCCAGTATTGAAACCACATTTCTCTACACTATTCGAAGGTGGGCTCTAATTATATTGTTTAGAGCCTCAGCTATATACGAATCACACCCTATATATTTTAGTCTTAATTTGATGATTTATTTTTATGATTTTTAAGCTTTTTAGGGATTCTATGATCTGTTTGTATTTTAAGGATTTTAGGAGTTGTTTAGAAAAGTAATTAGTGTTTCTTGAATTATTTGTATTCAAGGGTAAAAATGCCATTAAGAATTTTACTTTAATAAGGGCCTTCTATTTCAATTAGAATTAGGATTTCTGGGATTCTCAGTAAATTCTTCTATTATAAAGAGAATTTTTACAATAAACTAAATCCAAGTATGGGATTCTACATAAAGGTAAACCAATCTAAAATATTACACAAACATGGATAAGTTCAATATGTGGCATGTTGGGAGCCAAAAATTCAAAAGCCAAAGTTGGAGTGGACAGATTATTATAACCTTTAATATCAAGATTACCCACAATTAGTAGCCACTTATTTTAACTTAAGTATAAATGAATGACTATCAAGATTGCCTATAATTAATAGCCACTTATTTTAACTTAAGTATAAATGAATAACTATTTTGCCCCTCTTTTAATTTAGAGAGAGAGCAAGGGGAATTTAATATTCAACTCTCAGCTATTTTAACCTTTCTACGAATATTTTGGATGGCCATGGAGAAAGCATTGAGAGTTCGTTGGCCATGGAGAAAGCGTTCAACGCTCATTGCCCTGAGAAAACCTTGGAAAAGCTCAATAATTTCTTACATATACTATTCTACATTTCTTATGGGTCTTAATGGTAATGCATTTCTTTCTCTCTCTAAACAACTCCGTGGAAAGCTATTTCTGATTACTTTTGGACCCATTCATCCTTTTTGGACAAATAGTTGAGTTGAAATTTGAATTCCCACCATTTACTCTCTCCCATTTCAAAAGGAAAGAGGGGCAAAATAGTCATTCACATATTTACATAAAAATAAAGGGTTACTACTTGGGGGCAATTTTGTTATTACGGGTTACTATAGCCTACGTAGTCCTTAAACATCAACTCTTCGTTTTTTTGTCCCCGACATCTGTCACGTGTTGTACTGGTCCATGGTGGTGTAATATTTTTACATTAATTTATGTTTGTGTAAAATCATGCACTTGGATATATCCCGTTTTGAATCTTCAACACGGACTGCACTTCATGAGCTATTCGCAATGAATCCGTAACATAATTTAAATAGATGTATCTAGGAAGGATCCGCTTTGAAGCGACTATTCCCTAGATACATACGTAATACCTTGGTTTTTCACGGTTGAATTGATTTAAAAAAGACCTAAAGTTAGGGATTTCTCAATAGGTAATGTTGCTCCAATACCTAACGAAAGACTTATTGCGGTACCGAACAAAAATTTAAATTTCCTTGTTATATAAATAAGCATTCTATTAGGGTTTTTATATTTTGAGAATCTAAGTTGAGTTTTGACAGCTTTCTAATTTAACCAGTACAAAGCCATTGAAGCCTGACTTGTATGCTTCCTCTTTGATTTTCCAATCAATAGATTAGTTGATTTTTCTTCCCTGTGAAATTATTTCCACATCGAATGATATCAGAGCCAAGTATTCGTGGTCAGCAAAGGTAGGGATCTTCGAACAAATCTAGGGTTCGCTGAATTCAGGCCAGAATGTGCTGATTTCCGCTGAGGGTTTGCTAATTTTAGTTGAGGGTTAGCTGATTTCAACATACGGGTTGCCGATTTTCTGCCTGTGATTTCGATGAATCCATGGCAGCAAGAAGGGGTTGAGGAAGAGGAGCTCTCATAGATCTACCCCGTAATACCAAAGATGAAGAGATTGAAGATCTCAAGAGGTAGGTTCAGCAACTTGTACAACAACTCGTAAGCATCACTCATGGGCAAGACAGTGATCCTTCCCACCAAAAAGGTGTCAGGTACAACCCTTTTCACTGTCGTGCTCCACGTGAGGAGTCAAGTGAAGAGAAAAGCGATAGAAGACCTAGATGTAGGAGACATCATTTTAGGGCTTTTTATTTAAAGGTGGACATTTCTGATTTTGATGAGCATAATTTGATTCACAACCAAGGGAGAGGTAATCTCCCTGCTTGTGAGTACAATTGGGTTCGCGAAATTGAGGAGACTGACAATGGAGAATCTTTTCTTTCATCAAGGTATTTCCAAAAGCAGCAGGATATAGATTTGGATTCACCACTCATCTTCGACACATGCTCAAATGAAGAACAAAATCTTCAAGGAGATATGATCTATGATGAACCGACCTTTGACAAAGAAAAAGATGAAGGGCTCCAAGGAGAACCAATAGGTAAAATTATTGGTTCGATGATCGAGTCCAGTGCACATCTCAAAAATGTTTCCTTGGTATGTTCTAGGGCTAAACAAAGAAAATTCCAACAGGATTATGTGGCTGAATTGATGCAATTTTAACTAATTATGAGATGAAAATAGCATATATATCACGGTTATTCCGTCAACATAAAATGACCTTTTCCTCAAGGGTTTATGAAAAGTGTTTATGAACATGTTAACTAATCGCAAAGACCTAGTTCCAATGCACAATCTTTGTGTTTTAAATAAGCTAATAACCCACAGGCCTAAGAATTCAATGCATAACGTTCAAGTTCAAGAAAGTTGTGGGACTAATGCAAAATTCATCTTAGCCTACTTCAAAACTCAAGGACGAGTTTTCTCCACCAGGGGGGTATATGCACGACAAAATTGTTTTTATTTAGATTTTTGTTTAATTTCAAAGGATTAGGGTTTATTTTCAGGATTTTAAAGTTTTCTTAGGGGTTGTAGGGTTTTTTTTATATTTTTAGAATTTTAGGAGTTGTTTAGAAAAACTCGGACATGGCTAGCCCTAACCTAGTCATGCTAGTCCCAAGTAAAGGAGAAGAGTTGTGTTAGGTAGGGCAGCCAGCACAAAACTTTGCCACATCTTTCCATGAATCATGAACCTATGTTATACAGTAGGAGTTGTTTAGAAAAGCAATTAGTTTGCTTATGAGATTATTGGTTTTACCAGCAGTTAAAATGTCATTACAAATATTGTTTTAATTATGGCTTTTATTTCAATTAGAATCATGATTTCTTGGGTTCTAAGTAAAGCTTTTTATCATAAATAGGGTTCTGTTTGGGCTTTTTATTCATAGTTGAGTTTTGATATCTTATTTCTAGTTTAACTAGTGCAGAGCAATTAAAGCCTGGCTCGTAGGCTTCCTCTTTGATTTTCCAATCAATAGATTATTTGATTTTCCTTCCTTGTGAAATTCTTTCTGCATCAATCTAACAAATCTTGTTAAAATCAAAATTTAAGCACTAGTTGACGATCAGCACACAAGCACACAAATCAACAAGGAAAAGGGTTTCAACTATGAGGTAGATTCATGCATACCACACCAAGGAAATGTGCAATAAGGACATCCCAATCCTTATCATACAAAGCTGGAAGCAGGTGTTCAATCACACCATCATCAACCTGAAAGAGATTCCATTTATAGTACTCATTTAACAGGAATGTATAACCGAAAAGTTATCTGAAAAAAAAAAAAATGAGGAACAAAGAATACAACAAATTTAAGTACATACAGTGTGAAGGTCTTTAACATTAAGTGAAGGAAAAGGATATGATTTGTGGAAATGATTAGGAAACAATGGTAACCAAGTATCATCCCCCATCATCTGCAAACGCTTCCCATTCTGAGCCAACTGCAAACACAAAGATGTAAACCCAGCTTTTCCCAGCCAAGTGTTAGATAAGTTACTCATCGAAAGGAACACATAAGTATACTACCCAAAAGTCTCAATGATGCCATGTTTACATGCAAGCAAGGACCAACGGAAAAGATCCAGAAGGGAACCTGATATATCAAGTTGTCCTCAATGATTGCAGGAGCCCCAAAGCTATTCCCCACGTCAATAAATGTGGGTAGCCCCCCAGTGGTCAAACCCTGTTACAAAGTGAAGAAAAATTAAATTACTCTAGGAAAATTGTTTTTTCAATAATTTATGCAAATTAACCGGGAGAAACAGTCATAAATGGCCCAAGACATCACATAAACAAAAGTATTGTAGCTCAAGGGAGAAGCAATTTTTTTCACTTTCGGTAGTTAACAACCCTATTTGTTATGGAAACATCAATAATCAATGCAAAGACATCATAATATTACACCCTTCTTGGTTGCGTCTAAGAACTGCGAGGTATTCCTAGATTCCTAAAGTACCTCACCTATTTCATATAATGGCAAGAGCAATCTCTGCCCCTTGCGGCAAGACTTATTGGCTCCGTGATCTTGCAGTCAGGCCAGGCATTGTTTCTTCATAGACAACAAATTGAAAATTTGCAACCCAGTAATTCATTATAATTCTGATCTTCCATATTGTGATTAAACCAGTGTTGTTTATCTATATTCCCATGACATGATATGTTTAATATGTGTATATTAGATAGTCCTCATAATAAAATAAATAAATAACCAACTTTGGTACCCAAGTCAGTAAGAACCCAAACTCATACCAGAAATCTTCATACAAATTGATTGAATTTCAGGACTGCAAGTCCTCCCAACCATACACACACAAACAGGCATGCATGCACATGTACATACACATGCACATTAAAAAAAACAACCACTCAACTTGATAAATAGTAAAGTTCTAAGATATTCACGAAACTATTTGCACACTCAGAGAGGTAATCTTGCCATTCAAAATGAATGAAACTAGCCATTCAAGTCTCAAGGACACACTACATCAACACCCTAGCAAGGTCCTGAACCCAACGATCACACTACCGATCAAGATCACAAATCATATAGCAGCAATTAAAGAACACAGGTGATATGATAGAAGACTTGAGAACACTGTGTGACTATCATTGCATGCATTTCGTGTACACCCTTGCAACGTCGTGAACCCAAAGATCACACTACTGATCAAGATGACAAATCATGTAGCAGTAATTAAGGAACACAATGCAGTGATGCAATAGAAGACTTGAGAAAACTGTGTGACTAGTTTCACTGCATGCCTTTTGTGTACAACTGCATTGCCCTTCTAGGCTCCAAAGACCACAACAAACCTAAAAAGAGGATAATAACAAAAGAATGTATACTGCAATCCAACAGACTGTAGGAAAAGGAAAACAACAATCTACTGGGTCATCACCATCTCTTGAAATGAATGGGAACAGAAGTCGATCCTAACCGGAACATGACATGAACCCTATGCTATGTTCACTCTCATTACAACACCATCCATCTCCATCATTTCGACAGACACTGGTGACTCAGTAAATATATGTTTCGCCCATTATACTATAGTACTAGATATTCTAGCAGTTAATTGATTATGCAATGTTGATGAAGATAGCTAATACAAAAACATTTTAAACTGATGACTTTGAATAAACTTTTGAGCTTTAATAAAGCCTGCTTAAACCTCATCCATTTATACTAACAAAGATAAGCACACACCATACAACACAATATCATCTCAATGTAATAAGGATTATAAGCACCTTTAGACGCTGAAGAGTGGTCGTGGGTGGGTCAGAAATGGCCTTGAAAATCTTAGCAGAAGAACCATTCTCATAAGCTAGGTCCTGAAGAACTCGTAAGCGATCCATCCATGGTTTTGCCTCTGTTAGAAAATGTGTGGATGATCTCCCATCCTATATAAGACGCCCTCCAGTAATCAACTCATGCATGCATACAAGTGAGGTATGACATGCTTTTCATCAATAAAAAGAGAAAAGCATACTATGACACAATGAAATATGGGAAAAACATCGCCCACTGGGTTATCACAATTCACTAAAATGATGGACCGTGATTAAGAGTGTGACCCCACCATGCGGTCGTGTCCTATTTTGGTGAGTCCCATTCTCTCGCCATCACCACCCATCATTTTAAGGGACAGTGATGACCCAATTGACTATGACTTTTCCAAATCCTTTCGATTGTAGAAAACTGTCCCTCATCAAATTGGTACTAAAGCACTTTTTTTGGGGGATGGTGGGGGGGTGGGGACATGATGCAACATATTGAAAAACATAGCACAGAGGGGCTTGTCCTACTTCCATAGAGGAAAGGCTTATTCCTAACTAAATAATCAATGACCTTCCAGAATGGGTTGTGAAAAAATGATAGGCATGGAATGCTTACCCTCGAAGAATGCACTGGGTGCAAGGAAATCAAACCTGCAAATCAATTCACAATGTAATCAACCAGATATCCCAAATGTTCAATTGTATAATTTCAAATACTAAGCATGGCAGGCACACCACCAATTCAAAATTTTAGAAATGATGACTATAAGCTCTCGCAGTTCGATTGCACCGACGGGGAATAACAGCTACAGTTACATTACGAACATATTTGGTACAATTTTAGTCCCAAGAAAGCTCCCAAATTCTACAAACCCAATACTGGATATTTATGTTTAATAGTGGAGAAACCTCCAGCAAGTATAAAGCAATAACTACAAGTCTCAACCATTTATTGAACTCTACATTCAATTCGAACAAAAATTAAACTGAATAGTTAAAGAAAACAACTACAACCAATATCTATCCATCAACAGTTAATACAATATGACTTTTTCGATCGAATTGATTAAAAATATGAAATTTTAGGTAAAAGTGACAATGTAATCTTAATAAATTTCAAATCATAGAATGTAATAATAGGTCAAATGAAACCATACAAAAGTAAACTTAACAGGAAATAGATAGAAATCAACAGGAAATTTATCAGAAAATGTTCGTTACCTAAGAGCATCGATGATGATGATTATGACTCGATCAATCGCTGGTTTAGTCCAGCAGTGTAGGGTTTTGTTAGTCGATGGATCTATAAATGAATCTGATGAACATGGGGAGCTCGAGAGATCAGAGCATGAGCTAGTAGACGAGAGCTCTGTGCGTGTAAGAAGAAAGCCTCTTGTGAATAAGAAAATGGCAGCCGTGTGAAGGAAGAAAATGAAGAAGAATGGCCATATCAACCTCCACTTCTCCAAGCTTTTCCCCATTTTCATGGAGAATTGTTCAGAGATCAATGGCTCTGTAAAAATTTCATTGGCACCTCTCTCTCTCAAAGTCTGTCCGTTATTTCTCAACGAAATTATATAGGAAACTTCCTCTGTGCACGGAAAAATTATTACGGAAAGCTCGTTCACTAGCATATCTGTTGTCGTATCACTAAAGAGGATCCTGATTGAATCTGGATCGGCCATAATTCAAAAAAATTATAAAATGAATAAAATAAAATAGTGTTTACTGATAAAAATATTTGATAAGTTTTAAAAAATAAGAGTGAAAAAAATAAATAAAAAATAAATGACAGCGAGACCCAAAACATCTCGGAACCAGTTTGTTGTAACTTAAACCCATCCCAATCTAGAACGAAAATCACCGAGTTTTAAAATACTAAAATGGAAATTAAAGCTGCAACCCCAACTTTTTGGTGAACTGCATGTCTAATAGTTCACTTACGTGCGGTGCACGAATGCCGTTACTTGTAGCATATTAATGAAATATTTAATGATTAAAAAAAATCTATTAATAAAAAAATTAATTAATCACAAATTCCTTTTAGATAATAAGAACTTTTTAACTATTTATCATTTCTATAAAACAAATCCTACTAAAACTTTGGTTTTTTAAAATCGTGTTTTAAGATATTCTCTCTTTCTCTACTCTTAATTTTAAATATTTTTGCATCAAAGGGATATGCTGATATTATATAAGAATAATGAAACTGAACAATCTATGTAGGCCCGTAATCATATTTATAAACCACATACCTTAACGCCTTTAGTGAAATCCAAATAACCAAAAGAGAGATGAACCGACTGCCCGTTAGCTCTTCCCCAAATTCAACTATATTTCCGAATTCTATGTCCAAATAATAGAAGGTTAGATTTGGTGTACGTTTTTTTTATGTAGCCTGATAAATCTTTAAAATATAGTATCACGGTAGTGGTGCTTTTGAATCCATTAAAATAGGAGAGGGAAAAATATCTATGCAGCTCAATATATAGATGACAAAAATGATCAATGAGATTAAACTATCTTATGATTGTTTTTTTTATGAATTATTTATTTATGCTTTTTAATATGACTTTTAACGATTTCTTATGCTTTAAAGAAAAATTATATCCAATTTTTATTACCTTCAATATTATTTGTAATTTTTAATTTATTAAATAAATTACTTAGTCGAATTTTTTGAAAAAAAAAAAAACGAATACTACATTTTCTATGCAACTTACATGCAACCTATCTTTTTTTCTCACTTTTTTCCCAAATACACTTCCTATGCAAATACCCCCAACCAAAAAAAATAAAAAATAAAAAACCTAAACTACCCTCCCATGTCTATCCCATCAAAATAGGGGTTTTGGCACTGTGTAGATGCGGTCCGGTAGGTTTTTGGCACTGTGTAAAGTGAGGTCTGACAGTAGGGCTCCAACACTGTATAAAGCACGGTTCGACAGTAGGACTTCGATATTGTGTAAAGTGTGGCCCGTCAGTTGTAAAATGAGGTCTGACAATTGCAAAAGGGCTGTCTGATAATAGATTTTACTGGAATCCAAGGCTCCAGCACTATGTAAAAGGTGGTCCGACAATAATCAGCTTCGGTCCAATAGTTGTCTTAGGGTGGTCCGGAACTTGTGAGCTCCGACAATGTGATGGTGCTCTGACCAGTTAATTTGGCTTTAATGGACAAGGTTTTGGAGGGGTGGATATAGAGAGAACGTTGGTTAGGGTCGAGGTAGTTTAGATACCGTTATACCTCTCATAATCATTATAGTATTTTAAGTACCGTGTTGTCTTCACGAGCATTCAACTACTGTGAACGCTATCTTGGTTTTAAAAAAATATGTAAAGTGAAAAAAGTATTTTTTTTCTAATAAACCAAAATTAAAGTTTTTTTCTAACAATTTTCCTAAAACTAAAAAAAGTTGAGACTGAAGTTCGTTTTCCAAACTTTTATGTTTGAGAATTTTATGCGTCCCCAAGGTTTTTCATGCGTGCCTTGCCCATCTCCTCCAAAAAAATCTACACTTTTACATGTGCGAAATCTCAACCACCCTCCAAAGTTTATTTATTTTTGGTAATTTAGTGGGGAAGACAGGCCTCTACCCGTTTTTTCAAATAGTTTAGGAGTTAGTATTTTGAAAGTGTTAGTGGGGTGGTATCAATGAAAATGAAAACCACAACGTAATGCTTACAAAGATCATCTTTAAAGATAGTCGAATTACACAAGATTTCAAGGAATTGATTATTACAACAATATTATTTCATACAACTATTGCTCCAGCTACTTTGTTAAAAAAAAATGCTTATAATATATTTCTGAGAATAATACAATAAGGTTATTTTCCTTTGGCACACGGAGTTCAATTTTAGCTAGTGGGTATAAAATATGGTGGTGGAGGTTGTTTAATTGACATGACACAAAGTCTAAAAGAAAATTATTTGAATTATGGAACAAACCCCAAGCTGATTCCACATGTGATGTGGGCAATTCTTACCTCCATGCGCAATTCTATATATTTATTTGTAGTTTGGAATCGTCAAGATTATAATATAATAAAAAAGGAAAAATTTATATAAGGAAGCAACCTTGTAGACCTAATAAAAAATACATCTTTCTGGCATGGAATATATGGCAAGTGGGAGTAGTTTCACCATTTTTCATGAATTTATAATGCCAAATATCAATCACATAATTAGTGATAAAACCTCACTTTCCATATACCATCATTGGGAGGGAATCATAATTCATGTTGGAGAGAGAGAGGGCTTTCTAGTTAGCATTGGTGTGCTTTTACCACGGAGAGAGACAAAGGGAGGCCTTGTTCCTTTATTTGGGAGAGAGTTATATTTTGGCGCCAGCATTCAAAGAGAGGGGAAAAGAAGATGCAGCAGGGCAATAACAGTGAAGCGGAGGTCGGCCCCTCTGTAAAACTTGCTCTCGCCATTGCTCTCCTGCGCTCACGCAATTCAGATTCCTCCAAAGATGTTCTGCACTGGAAGAGAAAGGTACACCAAATGTTTCATCCCTCTCTCTCTAAGGTTTAATCTCCCCTGTCTCTTCTCCCCTCCATCTCTCTTCTATCCATCTCTTTCCATCTCTCTCTCTCTCTCCCCACTCTCTCCATCGATCTTTCTCTCCATCGGTCGGCTCCTCCGCGGTCTTTCTCGCTCTTTATGCACAGAGGACAGTTGCTTGATCGATCTACTCTAAAATCATGGCTGGACCTATTTTACATATGCTCACTTGCTCCTTTACCCCAAATAATTATGTTTGCTTTACAATTTTGTCTAAATGTCTCGGCAGACTCAGAACAATGCATTGCCTCCTTTAATTTCTCATATGATCTGAAATCCATGTTATTATCAACCTCACATGTATTGAATATGATTTCGAAGGCTTAGGATTTTGATTAATGGAGCTTGCTACTTGGCTAAGCAGAGACCTGACTGGTTTTCATGTATGATAGTTCAAAATCATTGTTCAAACGACCACGTGTTACATTTCGTTATGTAGATTCGCAAAAATAAGTGATCTTGGGCAATATAGTTTCTCATTTTTCCTTTGAGTGTATTGCTGGTATAGGACTAGTTGGTGCCACTCACTCTGCAAGGGGCAGTCTATGTAAGTGGCAAACTTATTTTTACAGTCATATTAGTGTTCGATGTGTTAATGAGAAAACTCACTCATCAATTTCTGCTTTCTACAATATATGCCTTTCATTTATATCATATTTAAATGTAAAAAACAATGTGCTATTGTTTCTTAGCTATTAGCATTTTAGACATAATTGTGTTCAATATGCGTTTACAAATGTGTGCTTCCATGGAGTGAATTATAGGCAAAGGAAAGAAAAAAGGAGTTGATGAAGCTCGAAGAAGAACTCAAGGATGTACAAGGTTGCCACCCAATCAGTGTGTGGGCATCCGTTTGTGTGTGTGTCAATGCATTTGTGCTCTGCATGTTTTTAAGTACATTTCATCTTCTTTCTTTCTTTTTTCTTTGACAAGGGAATTGTTCTCAACCATCTAGTGAATGTACTTTCCAGATGGAATTCAACGTGAGATTTTCTCTCAAGGCCCTTCTTGCAAGTGCCATTTCTTTGAGGATTGTGGGAACCTGAATTCAAAACTTTCGTCCCAGGGGGAAGATGGCACTGCATTTAGGGTGAACCAAGTTTTGTGTCGAAGGTTTCTAAGACAAGGTGTGATCTAGTTTTCTTTCCTCTTAATGTAAATATTTGTTTGACTGCAAAAGAAAGGGATTTGTAGGAGTAATGCCTTTGTTCTGATTTTTTTCTAGCTCAAGCTATTGTTTTTCACATCTTGAAATTGATGTATATATGTTGACCCCTTTGTAAATGCTCCATCCATGTTCATGGTTGATCCGTCAAATGATATTAGTTGTTTTTTGTCATTTTTCAGTTCGCTTAAAGGAGAGGACAAAAAAGCCTAATGGTGCAACAGTCAGCCTGAGAGTTGCTAAAGGTACTTCTTTCTTGGAGTTTACACATGCACACACATGCACATATACAGTTATTCTGTGGTTAAGGGTTTTGGGGACGCTTTTTAGCCCCCAAAACTTGTTTGTGCTCATTTTCTCCATGAACAACAATCTCAAAAACTAGAGTTTGCGATCTTTTTTAACATAAAAGAAAATTTCGAACTTTATGATTTCTTGAGAAATTGAGAAATATTCAATCCAAAACTTTTTGAGACAAATGGTTGCAAAAAAGGTCTTTTGGCAACCAAAGGTCACAAATTCAAGCCAAGTTGGGTTGGGTTTTGAGAGGTGAGTGTGTTTAATTTCTTGATTTAAGGTTCGGTGATATTTATAAATTGTAAATATTGGGTTTTGATTTGCTCTTTTCTTTTTCAATTTTGTTATTCTTTGTGTTTATCTTTTTCCGTTTTGGCTTTCGAGTATTCGTCCTTATTGAAGTGTGGGTTTCATTTTGACTTTTTGACATTTTCTTAAGATTGGGTAACTCAATCCCAAAAGAATATCAATAAGCTCAAGCATGCTAGGTTTGTTCTACTTTATTACTTCTTTGACTGTCCAAGGATGAAAAAGGGTAATAAACTTAGTTTTTCAATTTAGTTGCCTCTTTTTAATCTTTTAGGTGATTCCTTTTTTATTGTCTCAATCAGGGGGCTGTAGTAACTAAGAAAACCCCCTGATATCATCTGCAAGTGCCCAGAGCCCCCCCTTTTGTGTGCAGGCCATCCAGGTATAAGCGGCTGAATCCGCTTTCTTGAGCACTGATAACAAATATAAATCAATTGGTGAATCTCATTTCTTTAGAAAATATAGAAGACAACCTTTTAATAATATTGAGCTTGATAGATGTAGATTTTTTATTGTACATGATGACAATTGTCATTCTATTTTTTTGTGTGCATGCTTGCTTTCTGTTGAAATACAATGCAATATCTTCTGATCCCATAGTCATATTATGGATTCTGTTGAGAAAACATGCTGAGGAGGAAGATTTCCTTATTTCGACCATCATTGTACTTTTAGATCATCTTGCACTATAAATGTACCATGTGATGAAGCATTTAAACTTCAGAGGCAGATAATGTGATGGTCTTATAATCCAAGGATTTACATTGGTTTTTCGTTGCTTGAGTGCAGAGTTTGAGGGTTATGGAGAGAAAGAACAGCTTGCTACCTCTGTAGACTTTCTTATGGAGCTTGTCAGCACGAAATTGCTTGTAGGAATGCAACACACGATAACATTGTCCACACATTCAAGTATGCATTACAATCAAGTAGGCACTGAACCATTTTCTTTTCCAGGTGGACAATATGCCTTCATTTGCTACTTTTTCACATCAAGCCGTGGACTTTATAATAGGTATCAACCTCATTTTAGTCAGATAAACCATACTCATTGTTAATTATGCTCACTGGAATGCCTATCAAATGGTGGTTGACAGACAGCTTCCATTCCTTTGATACTTGTGAGTTGTGACATGACATGTAACCATTTACTCGTCATGGTTTTAAGGCATGTTTTATATATCCACACATTTATTGTCTCTTGTTTGTTTCTTATTTCTGCAAAGTTTAGGCCATCATTTATTCCGAGTATATGTTTCGATTACTAGATCTTGGTACCGTTCTTTTTTTTTTGACAAGAATACTTAACTTTTATTGATAGAAAGATGGATCGTCAACATCGATTACAATAAAGCAGAAGAAATAACTGTCGAGTCAAAGAAAACTCCTTTCCTAGCCAAGCCATTGGCATCTCTATTTGCTGCCCTGAAGACGTGTTGAAAAGAAACTGTCAATGATGAAATCCCGTCCATAACCTTTAGCCAAAGAGACCTTAACTTCCAGGGGGGTTTAGAAACAAGTGAGCAGCCGTTAATAACATTAAGTGAGTCCCCTTCAATGATCAATGAGCTTCCCAAACATCTATCTTTCCAAATCATTAAGCCTTGAACTAATGCTTCTATTTCAGCATGGTTAGCCGTAGTTAAACCACATGGACCCGCATAGCAGAATAAGATATCACCTGCACAATCTCTACAACTCCCTCCAAAACCAGCCATACTTGGGTTCCCAAGAGAAGAACCATCAAAATTGAGTTTAAAAGTTCCAGCCATCGGTGGAGCCCAAAGAGGCCTTGGTCTAACTTTTACAAACTGATATTTAATCAGGTTCTCCAAGTTATTAAAAATATCAATTTTAGTAACCCCAAAACCTTCCTTAGTTACTCTGAACCAATTCTACACCGTATTCAGAATTCTTACTTTAAGCTCTTGAATCTCCAAATAAGTACAATGACAAAGGGCAATACAATAACAAAACAAGCAAACATTAACTAAGACCTTGCCCCTCTTCCTAAGTTTACCTTGTCGAAGCACCCAAAGGAAACCCTTAACTTTGAGGGGGATCTTCCATCCAAATATCCTGTAAAGATACAGCATAGAGTATGCCGAGCGAAGTGAAAACCAACCATCTGTTTCAGCTTCCCAAACTGCTTCATCACATGCCTCCGTTGAAATATAAGCTTCTCCCAACAACTTTAAAAGATCTTGGTACCATTCTTTGTTATGAGTTTAATTGCTCAAGCTTTGGGAGACAAACACAGTCAGCATTCTCAAAAAGAAATCTCTGAGAGAATAAGCATACTTCCACATTAACTGAGGTGCTTTTCTGAATAAATACAAGGTGTGAAGGCTGCCACAAGTGAACTGGTAGGTAGAAATACTCTTGAGCTACAATCCAATAAATTTCAAAAGATAAGGTGAACCCACTTTGGCATGACCAACATAAAAACTTATCTGCCAAAAACAGAGACTGACAGAAACAACCTTGAGTTATTTTATAATAAAGGAATGATACTGCTGTTTACTAAAAATATAAAAGAAATTATCATTGTGATTGATGCAAAACTGTTTCATCACCAAGAACAGATGCGGATTTGAAGCCTCAAGATGGAAAAAACATTGCTGTAATTATGTAAAAGGTTTTATTTTCTTCTTGTTTTGGGCAGGGTTGAATATTGGTTTTATCTGAAACTCAAATTATATATTAAACAATGTGTAGTTTGTGAACATTCTTATGAGGGTTTGGGTGTATTTTGGACAATGAATGATGAGGGTCAGCCTGTGGATATGTTATGAGGGAGTTGTGGTGCTAAAGTGATAACATCATGATTAGGAAGTTCCATAAGGGCATCAGAAAAGCAATGAGAGCCTCTGAGCATGTTGGTAAGGGGAAACTTCAGTCGACAGTTTTGTAAGGTGCATGTGATTGGATTAATTGTGGGAATTTACCTGTATTATGCATGCAATCCTATGTTTATGGACTTTCTTGATGATGATTACAAGATATTTTGCTTGATTCTTTGAGTAAATCCTTGATAAATCTTGAGAAGTATCAGAACTTCGACTTGTAATGCCTAGGGAAGTTGAGGAAGAAAAGGGGGAAGACAAAAGTGAAAAAGAAAGAAGGAAGAGGATGAAAGAAAGGCGAATAATTTGAGAGCTCTATGCCACCAAAGCAAAGGTTATGGAGGTGGTGATTGAGCAATAGCTATTAATGTTTTATCAATCATGGTCATGTCTTTACAGACTCCTATGCTGAAAAGATTAACAAGTCTATCATCCAATTTCGGGGTTCCTTTAGTGTCGTAGCTGGATCGGCATCAGAGCTGGCCTACTTGGTGCAGGAGTTGTTACGTTCTATCAGTGACATGATCATATCTAGAACTACACTTTAAAAGAGGATCAGCCATGTGATATGTTTGGTAAGCTGTTGATATGGTTAGCTGTTCCAGCTTCTAACATAAATATTCGTGAGGGTTCTTTCTAACTGTTGTTTTTCCAACATGGTGAAAAAAAAGAGTATGGGCCTGCTGTACTACCAAGTTATGAACCTCTGTGACCTTGAAAAGACATTTTAAGAATCTTTGCAAGAGCTTGTGCATCAAGCAGGGATCTCAGGAGCTAGATGTGTTCCTATTGAATTTCTATTCAAGAAAATTCTAATTTGTGAATCAATGTGAATATTGATGTCAAACTGCCTTTACGGTACTTTCTTTCTATTGCGTTTCTATGATTAAAACATATGTCCACATTATATTGTTGAGAGCTGGAAACGGATGGCCTTTCCTTTGTTTTTAGTAGATTTTCTACATTGACATCAATTCATCAACTATTAGTACTAAACTTAGACGCCTTACAATTTCCTGTGGCAGGTAGTTAGGATTGCATGCTGGATATCATCTAATTGAATTCTTTGGTGATCAGATAGTGCACATGCCTGCTTGACCTCCAGTTTCCAAGTTCCACGTCTACCGATGCTAATTTTCTGCTTTCTAGTCTACAAGAATTGAGGCCTTACTTGAGACTGCTATCATAGAATTTGACATTAATTTCAACCTTCTGTGGCTGCATGCTGCCTTACGTTCGTTAGATTTAAACTTTTGAAAATTATTAACTTCTTTACTGAAAAGGTGATGTGGTTTTCTTTTCAGCTTCAATTAAAAACTTATTGTCAAGAGGAGAAAATAACGAATTCGTTGAAGGGGTTATCAACGGCTTGATCGTGTGTTTGACGAGAAGGATGTGCATATCTACACATCCAGATGGTAGAAGTTCTAATTAAAGTTTTCTGTTGTATCAACTAGTACTTACAGACACTGAACTTTTGTTGGTTTTGTCTTACTGTAGCTGGCTACTTATAAAATTTAATAAATCTAACGATATGTTGATACCCATTCCTCTGATTCTATGTTATTCTACTTCAACGAGCTTGATGCTTCTGAGTGGCTTCGTTTCCTACTATCATGAAACCTTCACTGAGGCCTCAGGTTTTTCATTTTTTCTCTTTTAAAATTATTACGAGTTAAAGTTCTTAATAGGAAGGCTCAATGTTTTATTAATATTTTCAAATTTTTAGTTCTTTTCATTGCATTATCATATTTTATTAATTCTGTCTTGCTTATAAAGATTATTATTAACAATTTAACATATCTTCGGGACTTATTTTCCTTTCAAACACTGAATAATTATTCATATTTAATTTCAAATAATTATTAATGTTTTAATTTCACCTACATATAATCTAAAGCAACAATGATCCTGTGATCTTATTTCTTTGTAACTTGAGGTGTTTTGTTTTGCTCATTTTTGGTGGTGTCAGCATGTGGATCTTTCCTGGTTTTGTTCACATTCACTCGACTGATTCTTATTACTGCATTGATGTTTAAAGGAGCCAAGTTTGTGAGTCCTGTTTACTTAGCTTTACTCAAATTCCCCAACATAGTTATCTCCACAGCATCAATGTAGGAACTGTGAATGACTGTCTAATTTTCTTATCTAGGTTTGATTTTGCAGTATATCTAATTCTTTTTCTTTTGTGTCTATATTTATGTTAAGGAAATATTTATTGCTGTAAAAGAGCGAAATATGGAATGTGCATTTGATGTTATGGAAGGCTTCTTAACGAGCTTTATTGTAGGAACTGTTTCTTTTTCAACAAATTTTATGTTTCTTGATTCTGATGTTGTTGATGTATTACCATTTCCATGTCCTCATGGTCTAAGACTCTAAGTTTGGTTCATGTCTTGGTAACAGGATTGTCAAATCCCAATTCTGAATCTCAATTTTTTATCCAACACCTCATTCGTAAGCTGGGAAGTCAACCTTACATTGGTCTACGCACATTGCTTTCAGTTTCTCAAAAGATAGCCACAACTGCAGATGGCTTGCTTTTTATGGATCCATTTTCTGATGTTGTGCCTAATGTCCATGACAGCATGTTCTTGATGTAAGTTATACTGGTGATCGAATGACCATCATTTATTTTTCTGTGTAAGGTTTTAGCAATGTTGAAATCACTTTTTTTAAATCTTGCAGATAAAACTTGAAAGACTTGACACCCTTGACAATAAATAGGGACAGAAAATTATGCCATACAAATAACAAAAACTCCTATTGCATCTTACTCAATAAGTTAGAGATGGTCACCCAAAGGAGGCTCTACCTGTCTGAGTCAGGTGGTCAAAGTGGAGGTGCTATATGACCTTCTTGTAAGCCTCTCGGATGTAGAAGTAGAACAAAGAAGAAAAGAAAGAGAAATAGTGCCAATCAGGTGGAAACTAGGAATTTCAACTGAGATTCAATGACTTGTATGAGGATCCAAGGACCACCCAAAATAGGAACCTTGTTTCTGATTTCTAAAATTTATAGCAAAACGTATTGAATTCCAGCTAGAAGTCTTTCTATTTCCTATTTTTATGGACCTGGCTTGGCTCTCAAGCCATACTTCTCTCGACTTTCCTAGGAGCATTTCCCAAGCCATGCACAATACCTCTTCTGAAACAAGTTCTTTCCCCTTCCCAAGCCCCATATGACCAAAATGTAAACAGGAGCCCCGTGAGTTTTGTAAATTTCAGAAAAGTCTGTTACAAAGAAAATACAAAAAATATCCCGTCTTACCAAAAAAATAAAAGAGGAAAACACAATCAATGTTAACAAGGAAAACACAATTAATGTTAACAAAACTTTCTTTTATTTTCTGTGTTGAACTCCTCGGGTTAGCTGGAAGTCGTCCTCGAGTTTGAGCCGGCAATGAACTCAAGGGCTTTCAGATCAGGCTTCATCAATTCTTCTTTAGGAACTCTTGGCATTGGGCTTGCCTTCTACTGTACCAAATACTGATTGTAATCTCCATAGTGGGCAGAGACGAGGCGGCTATCCAAGAACTTCTCTACCTTGTCCCCCTTTCGCTTTGGCATATGTGCTTCCCACCGAGTGTCACCTTCTACAACTTCCCGATGATACTCATGTAGTTCAGAGATGTTGATAAATTTCATACTCTTTAGAAAGCTCGATTTTATAGGCATTTTGTGCCAACTTTTGAAGTAAATCGACAAGGACTAATCTTCTTATATTTAATCTTATGGTAAGTGCCTCTTGGGAAGTGCTCACGCCTATGGCACACCATTACCAAGTCTCCTATCTCAAAGGTCTTTTCCCCTTGGTGTAAGTCGACATCGGCTTTGTACTTGTTTCCCGAACTTGACTATAAAGGTCTTGAATGTACTCATCCAAAGCTTCCGCATCACCTCTGGCTTGCACCCCCTTGGACAAAGGGACTAGGTCCAGCCCCTTGCTTGGTGGCTGACTGTACACCACCTCAAATGGAGCCTTCCAAGTGGGCCAATAAACAGAACTGTTCTAGGCAAATTCCGCTTGAGGTAGAACTCGATCCCATTAACCCTAGCAAGGCTCCTCAACAATTCTCGAAGGCTTCAGTTGACGACCTTGGTTTGGCCATCAGTTTGAGGGCACTGCTGTACTGTAGTTGAGTGCCTAATTTTTCCCACAAGGTTCTCCAAAAATGGCGTACAAATCTCGTGTCTCGATTGGAGGTTATGGTTTTTTAATACACCATGAAGGCTGACTACCCCCTTAAAGAAAAGATTAGCCACTTGAGTGGCATCTAAGTGTTTCTGCAAGGACTGAATTGGGCCATTTTCTTGAACTTATGTTTGATTTCTGAAATTTACAGCAAAGAATTGAATTCCAGCAATATAAAAATCATCCTTTTTTTTATGAACTTTGTCTTGGCTCTCAAACCAAAGTTCCCTTAACTTTTCTAGGAGCATTAATGGACAATATCCTTCCTAAGCTATGCACCCTGCCTCTTCCTAAGCAAATTAACCTGCTGGAAGCTCCACTTTATACACATTCTCTTTGAATTTCTGTATAACATGACAAGGCCCAATGCGTCGAAACTTCAACTTATGGTACTAGCCTTGAGGAAATCTCTATTTTTTGTTGTTTGAACACATTTTTCAGCACCTTGGTCTCTGATACGGAATAAAGAGGAAGCCGGTCAATAAAGCCTACAAAACATAGGAAACTTGACAGTCTCATAATGGCCCCAGAATTGGTCAAGTTCTTCATCAGCACTCCAAAAGGCCATCTGCCAAGTTTCATCGCGATCAAACATTTCTAAAGCAGTGAACACAAAGAAACAATTTCAGAAAAATTGGCCTCTAGCACCCTGAAACGAACCCGTATAACTGGAGCTACATTTTTCGGTGCGTCAAATAGCTGTGGGACCACCGCCATTGGATCCGGCATGGTCGAAAATCCGTAAGGGCTAAGTTTCGGCTTAATTGGACACTCCAGGACAAAGTTATAAGCAAAACATTGAAACAGGAGGAGCCGCACACTATTCCTGTGTGGCCACCCTGCCCCAAAACACCATTAAAGGTTTTTGTTTTCACAGTCACGGCAGTGACTTTCGGGGCCCATATCTCACTCGTTCCAAGTCGGATCACGCTCAAATTTTGTGAGCGTGTTCTTCTCGTCGAGACGAGCGTTTCGATATGTGGTACGTCCCGTGACGACGTCCAAGCAGGGAGAAAAGCTAGAGAGAAGTTGTCGATCCGTGAAGAAGTTGCAGAAAATTCAGCACCGACACGCCTCGCTCGAGTAGTCAAATCATGGCGCTCGCACAATAGATCGACACGAAACCAATTCCATCGTGTGCGTAAGATCTAGGGCTACCATTGGTCCGAACCCCGTATATGATGGACGGTCAGATTTCACGCATGAAGCCGACGGAGTGACTGAAATTCTAGCTTCGAATTTCTAGATTCCGGCCAAAATCCAAAAGTTGCGAAATCTTTGTTCGGGCTCCGAATCGCGTCCTGTTTGTTGCCATGCGATCGTAACGGCATGCTCATTGCACTACCACGAAGAAATCATGGAAAAACATCAAGGAATGAGTGCACTATCGATCCGAAGTTTTCAAGATTCATGCAAATTTCAAGTCTCGTGATCGTGGCCTAAAAACACGATCCACGGCTCGAAATGGGTATCAAATTGATCGCCGTGCCAAGCTCTACAAGAAAACAATCATCTTTCGATCAAACGGGCATCAGAACAACCCCGGATCAGTCATGGAAGATCGCGCAAGTTCTAGGGTGGCGGCAGGGACTGTTTCAGAATTCCATGAATTGTTAGGCAGGAGCAAAAAAGTCATTTTGTACCCTATTTTCTTAATTTTTTTTAATTCAATTAAATTGTAATTATCTTCAGTTTAGGTAGTTTTTGAGCGTTCACCCATGTTTGGGCTCAATTCTATATAAACATGCTAAATCTAATTGTAAAAGGACCTTTGATCATTCAATAAAATTTTAATTTTTGGCTTCAGTTCGTGGGTATGTCTTGGAGAGAGAGAGGAGAGAGAAAAAAGAACCAGTACCTCTCGATAAGGTGATTTTCTCTCTCCTCTTTTCTTTCTCATTTTATCTCTTTTTCTCTCTATTCTTTTCTCTCGCGTCCCTTTTTTTCTCTCGTCTCTATCTCTCTTTCTCTCTTCTTTTCTCTCTCCTCTCTCTTTCTCTCTCCTCTTTCACAGACGGCAGAACCCCATCACTGTTTGTGTTTTTTTCTCATTCTCTTCTTTTCTCTTCCCTTGTGGTCTCGCATGACCACAACCCTCATCCCTCGTCCCTGTGGTCCCTCACAACAACGACTATCTCCTCTCCTTCCTTGTGGTCTAGCAAGACCACAATTCCCCTCTTTTCTCATTCTTTTATCTCCTGCAAGTCCATCAGCTCCATGTGCACCTTCGGGTCTACTTCCTCTACCTTTTTCTGGTGGTCCCTCGTGTCTACCTCCTTTTCTCTTCTTTTTCTGTGATCCTTGACATTACCCCTTTTGGTGCCCCTTTGCATCCCTTCTTTCCCTCTCACATTCGGTGGTCTCGCGAGACCACCATTTCCAAAAACTCTTTAACTCAGCGCTGTCTTTGTAACCTTCTAACTTCAGCACCGTCTGCGCAACCTTCTAACTCCATCGCCGTCTCATTCTTCCAACTCTATCGCCGTTTCATTCTTCCAACTCCAATGCTGTCTCATTCTTCCAACGTCATCGCCACCTAATAACCCATAAGTCACCTCTCTCTCCGATTCACGAAAAAAAAAACAATAAAAGTACTCTCTTTCTCATCTAAATAATAAAATAATCCAATTGCAAACCTCTCTTTCTCTTATATTCTTTATTTATTCCATCTTCTTCCAAGTGTCAAATCTTCCCTCCATTCCTGTTAACCAAGTCATTACCCTTTTATTATTATTATTATTATATTTCCTTCAACCTATTCCAATAAGCAACCCATTCGTTTATTTTATTTTATTAAAACATTATTTCTCTCTCTTAGCTAATTCATTAGTTTTATTTTATTAAACATTCTTATTTTATTAAACAGTCTTTCTTTCTCCTAGCTAATTCATTAGTTTTATTTTATTAAAACATTCTCTCTCTCTCTCTTAACTAACTTATTTACCTTATTTTATTCAAACACTCTCTCTCTCTCTTTTAACCGATTTATCTCTTTTCTTTTTTTTCTATTTTGCTTTACCTCCCCTCATGTCACCCATTATACCTTAGTTCACTTTATCCAATTACTTCATTTATTTTTACTTTATTTTTTTTATCCTATTCATTCATTCTATCTTCATTCATTTCTATTTACTTTGTTTTATTTTATTTTATTTTATTCACTTTATGTCTTTTTATATTATTTCCATTGCCCCATTTTATTTTATTCATTTCATTTATTTTATCTTACCTTATTTTAATTTATTCCTTTACCTTATTCTATTTGCCCCACTTATTTTATTTTAATTTATCTTTATCTTCTTTATTTTATCTACCCTATTTATTTCATTTTTATTTTTCTCACCTCATTCGCTTTATTTCATTTCCTTTTATTTTATTTTTTATTTTATTTTATTCCACTTATTTTATCCTACTATCCCTTAATCTATTTTTATTTATTTATTTTATTTTAGTTAGCTCATCTTATTTTATTTTCTTCCATCTCTTTTATTTTATTTTACTTCATTTTATTTATTTCACTTCACTTCATTCCATTTTAATCCTAATTCTATTTTTTAATTTTAATTTTATTTTATTTTATTTTATTTTTATTCATCTCTCTCATTTTTCTTTCATCCTGTAACAAGGTGGGGACCTTGCCCCACTTGTCGTTACTTCTAATTTATGTGTGTGTGTGTGTGTGTATTTGCAGGAAATGAGAAACAGGTCAAGGGAGGCAATTCCAACCCGGCCATAGGCTAGGGGGACATTCCAACGTGATCTAAGAGGGCGCCTACGCGAGCCAGCTCGAGCGTGTCACGGACCCATGTGAACACTGTCAGGGTTCCGGTCTTCTTGGACTTGGCCCTGCACCTCTTTTGCATGCACACTGCACCACTCGGGGCGACCTTGAGGTTACCTCAGGACACTGTCAGGGTTCGGGTCTTCTTGGATTTGGCCCTGCACATCCTCGGGGCAACCCTTAGGTTACCTGGGAACACTGTCAGGGTTCGACTCTTCTTAGACCCGGCCCTGCACACCCCTTGCATATGCACTGCACTGTTCGGGGCAGCTTTGTTGTTGCGCTTGCCCGAGCACACGAAGGGGAACCTCCTAGTTCCCCTTCCCAGCACATGTCTGTTCGCTCTGTGAGGGATGGTCACACGGCCATTTCGTCACACACACTTGCTCATGGCACGGGGCCTCTTAAGGCCAGACACGCTATTCAAGCCCGGGTTGACCACCAGGTCACCTGAAGCCCTTTTGTAGAGGGCGCACATCCGCTAATCCCCCTGTCCACCCAGAGCATACCTGTGCAATGTGCACACATGCACAGATCCAAAACTTCCCCTAATTCTGAGGGCGAAGAAGAGGACATCATGAAAGACTTCTCTGCCGAAGATGAGAGCCCTTTCCTTCCCCTAACTCCCCTTGTGCGAATGATGCTAGAAAAGCATCGAATGAGGAGAACACCAAAATGGTTACTTGGGGCATGATGAAGCCGGTTATCTATGAAGGTCCAAGGGAGCCCACTTGGGGCAAGGGCAAATCTACTGAAGGGGCCAAAAGCCAGTCTGGCCCAGTGACCCCATCAATTCTGAGCCAATGGCGCCATCACCCGAACCCATTCTGAGTCAGGACACCGAGAGCAATGGCTTCTTCGAGCTGATTGAGCTCTTGGTGCCCTAACTCGGAATGGATTTGGCTGTCTGATCGGGTGATGGTGCCATTTGGCTCAGAGTTGATGGGGTCACTGGGACAGACTGGCTTTTTTCCTGTCAATAAAATAAATGAATGGGTTGGTTATTGGAATGGGTTGAAGGAAATACAATAATAATAATAAAAAAAGGGAAATGATTTGGTTAAGAGGAATGGAGGGAAGATTTGACACTTGGAAGAAGATGGAATAAATAAAGAATATAAGAGAAAGAGAGGTTTGCAATTGGATTATTTTATTATTTAGATGAGAAAGAGAGTACTTTTATTGTTTTTTTTTTTTGTGAATGGGAGAGAGAGGTGGCTTATGGGTTATTAGGTGGCGATGAGGTTGGAAGAATGAGACGACGTTGGAGTTGGAAGAATGAGTCGGCAATGAAGTTGGAAGAATGAGACGGCGATGGAGTTGGAAGAATGAGACGGCGATGGAGTTGATAGGTTCCACAGACGGTGCTGAAGTTGGAAGGTTGCACAGTCGGTGCTGAAGTTGGAAGGTTGCACAGACGGCGCGGCGTTTAGAGTTTTTGGAAATGGTGGTTTCGCGGGACCACAGAACGTGAGAGAGAAAGAAGGGATGCAAAGGTGCACCAAGAGGGGTAATGTGAAGGATCACAAAAAAAGAAGAGAAAGGGAGGTAGACACGAGAGACCACTAGGAAAAGGTAGAGGAGGTAAACTCGAAGGTGCACATGAAGCTGGTAGACTTGCAGGGGATAAAAGAATGAGAAAAGAGGGGAGTTGTGGTCTTGTTAGACCACAAGGAGAGGAGAAAGTTGTGGTCGTGAGGGACCACAGGGATGAGAGAAGAGGAGAATTGTGGTCATGCGAGACCACGAGGGAAGAGCATATAAGAGAATGAGGAAAAAACACAGACGGTGATGGGGTTCTGCCGTTTGTGAAAGAGGAGAGAGAAAGAGAGAGGAGAGAGAAAAGAAGAGAGAGAAAGGGGAGGAGAGAGAAAAGAAGAGAGAAATAGAGATGAGAGAGAAAATCACCTTATCAAGGGATAATGACTCTTTTTCTTCTCTCCTCTCTCTCTCTCTCTCTCTCTCTCTCCAAGACGTACCCATGAACTTTAACCAAAAATTGAAATTTTATTGAATGATCGAAGGTCTTTTACAATTAGGTTTAGCTTGTTTATATAGAATTGAGCCCAAATATGGGTGGATGCCAAAAAACTACTTAGATTGAAGATAATTACAATTTAATTGAATTAAAAAAAATTAAAAAAATAGGGTACAAAATGATTATTTTGCCCCTGCCTAACAATTCATGGAATTTCTAAACAGTCCCTGCTGTAGCCCTAGAACTTGCGTGATCTTCCATGACTAATCCGCGGTTGCTTTGATGCCCGTTTGTTCGAAAGATGATTGTTTTCTTGTAGAGTTCGGCGCGACGATTGATTTGTTACCTATTTCAAGTCATGGATCGTGTTTTTAGGCCACGATCACGAGACTTGAAATTTGCATGAATCTTGAAAACTTCGGATCGATAGTGCACTCATTTCTTGATGCTTTTCCATGATTTCTTCGTTGTAGTGCATTGAGCATGCTGTCACGATCCCGTGGCAACAAATCAGATGCAATTTGGTGCCCGAACGAAGATTTCACAACTTTTGGATTGTTGTCGGGATCTAGAAATCCAGCGCCGGAATTTCAGTCACTTCGTCGGCTTCGTGCGTGAAATCTGACCATCCATCATATACGGTGTTCGGACAAATGGTAGCCTTAGATCTTACGCACACGATGGAATTGGTTTCGCGTCGATCTGTTGCGCGAGCGCCATGATTTGACCGCTTGAGCGAGGCGTGTCACTGCTGAATTTTCTATAACTTCTTCACGGATCGGCAACTTCTCTCTAGCTTTTCTCCCTGCTCATACTTCGTCACGGGGCGTACCACATATTGAAACTCTCTTCTCGACGAGACGAACACGTTCACAAAATTTGAGCATGATCCGACTTGAAACGAGTGAGATATGGGTCCCGAAAGTCACTGCCTGTGACTGTGAAAACAGCCCCCTTTAATGGTATTTTGGTGTAGGGTGGCCACACGGGAATAGTATGTGGCTCCACCTGTTTCAATGTTTTGTTTATAACTTTGTCTTGGCGTATCCAATTAAGTCAAAACTTGGCCCATAAGGGTTTTCGACCGTGCCAGATCCAATGGCGGTGGTCCCACAGCGATTTGACGCATCGAAAATGTAGTTCCAGTTATACGGGTCCATTTCAGGGTGCTAGAGGCCAATTTTTTTGAAATTGTTTCTTTGTGTTCACTGCTTTAGAAATGTTTGATTGTGATGAAACTTGGCAGGTGGCCTTTTGGAGTGCTGATGAAGATCTTGACCATTTCTGGGGCCATGCTGAAACTGTCGAAGTTTCCACTATTTTGTAGGCTTTATTGACCGGCTTCCTCTTTATTCCGCATGAGGGACCAAGATGCTGAAAAAGGTGTTCAAACACCTGTAGGTAACCATAACGAAATCGCGCTCATAAGCCCTTAACGACATCTGTGTCGATCAACACTCTCGTCATAACGTGCTGTGTTAATCTTATCAATGTCCTTTTTTGTATTTGCCATAGATATTAGTAACTAATTCGAAACTGCAAATATTTTAGATGTAGTAACAATAGTCCTTCAGGAGGGATGCCTATGCAAAGCTTCATTTATAGTTTATAAAATGTTGGCTTTAGTTAGTCATTGCTCATAAATGGCAATTGCATCTTAAAATTATCATTGCTTTCTCAAACTTTAATGCCTTGACAATCTCATCTTTAGCTATCAATGACATTATTTTGAGTTTCTTTACATGGTAAACAGGATTCAACTTACAGAATTTTTAGTCACAGACAATATTTACATGTGGGCAACTGATGGAGTTCTTGAAAATGGTATGTACTTCACCCCCTATTGGGATGCTTCAACTTCATACATTGATGTTATGTAACTCATCTTAATGAAAGTTCAGGTTTTGTGTTTCATGATAACCACACTATTGCACTGTAAGAAGTTTAGTTTCCTTGTTAACTTATTGGAAAAAGTATCCATCTCCTCAGGAGTTCTATTTTCTTCCATTGTGTAGCTCTGTTTCCTCCTGTTAGACAAAATTTCTCATATCAAGTAATGCAAATTAATTTGCTTGACTTAACCTGATGTGATGATGACAAGTTTAGTTTTAACCCAGAATTGCATGTCAGTATATGTATACCTACATGGGAAACCTTGAAAGTTTTGTTATAAATCCTGATATCTCAACTGCACAGTCAGAATGCCCCTGGTTTTTGTTTTCTTTGGTCTCCTAAAGTAGTTTATCAACAAACTATGTCACCTGCTAGCATAACTAGTTGTGGCCATGGTTTTACTCAAACTAAATTTTTCATCTGTAGTAGTGATTGAAAAAATTTCCTTCAAGTCAGGTCTTTTCTAAATACACTTCAACCATAAGTTATTAAGAATCAAAGTTCAAAAGGCAGAGGTGGCGGCCAGGGGCTCTGACCGCCTAGGCTTGGATTTTGGGGGTCGTATGTGTGTTGTGCGTGTGCATGTATGTAGAGTGTGTTTCTGCCACGAAATACTTAAAATATCACGATCATCTTCTTTTTTTCTTTTCTTATATGTAGCGTAAGAGAGATAGCGCATGTGGATCTGTGTTTGTGAGAGAGAGGTCTTGAACACTGGGTGGACATTATTTTTTTTCTTTTTCTAATATTGGAGGTCATCTTCTTCGTAAAGAGAGAGCATATGGCTCCATGTGTATTTGTGTGTATGAGAGAAAGAGACCTTGCATCAAACACTTGGATGTCATCTTCGTTTTCTTCTTATATATAGAAATCACATGGGCCCATGGGACTGTGAGAGTGGGGGAGAGAGAAAAAGGCCTTAAATGAGAATTGACTTTTTATTTTATTTTTTTAGGGTTTAGGGTGGCACAAATTGGGCAACCAAACCCAGCTAGGTGGGCGCCTTGAGCCTGCCTAGGTGGGCGCCTTGGGCATGCTCACCTAGGCTAGGCGGATCGTTGGCCAGGCCGCCTAGGCAGCTGGGCGGTCGATTTTTTCAATACTGTTCAGAGTGCAAAGTAAAAAATTCTGAACCAACCAATATGCTCGTTTTCCTCCACAATCAGAATCTCTATAACATCATATAGACTACTCAATTTCTTTTATATGAAAATTTGAGTTCATTTATGTTTACTTTTTATTAACTACCAAAACTCCAAATAGGTTTTAAGCTCCTGCTACAAAAACAGAAATGGCTACTGTTGTGCTGTTTATCATCAATGACGCTATTGAATTTATTTAAAATGGGTTAATGCAGGTCTATTTGAAGAGTGGGTGAAATGGATAGGGCAAGCAAAGAAGGCATTAGAGATTCTTGAAAACAGGAATGGTCTTTATGTTCTGTATATGGACAGGGTAATTGGAGAATTATCGAAACAGGTTAGTCGGGTATCTTGCCCCGAGAATAAAAAGCTCCATATGGATGTTCTTGATTTTCTGTTTCAGTGATTCTTGGGCATATTTCTTGAAGAAATTTCCCTATTTTCTGAACAGATTGTTTGGTTGATGTATCGTAAATAGCTCTCGGTGGAGAAGTGATATCTTGATTTGTTGCTGATGCATATTCTTGTTGTTTCCCTAGAGCTTGTGTTTCTTTTTCCGTTGTCATAGCTGGATTTTGATTGATGCACCATTGCTCTGTGTATTGTGCTGCCAAAACCTTGATGCATGTAACAAAGAGATGTGTGCATCAAATGATCAAATCCAGCCCATCCTGGCAAATGTGCTTTTTTTTCCTTCTGAAAAGCTTATGAATACATTGCTTGATTTTCTTTTAAAAATATATTTCTTGAGTTTTTCCTGCAATATTTACAGGAAAATTCTATGCTTAAGGTAACTATAAGTTTAAACGCGCTAGTTATAAATTTACAAATAAGGATATGACAAATATCATGTACAAAGATAATTGAACTTGAAACATATGGATAAAATATATTCTTTTAACATTTTTTTTCTACATTTTGAAAGTTCTAGCCGTTTGGTTTTTCGGTTATTTTTAAATTTTAAATTTCCCCAACATTTTTTAGAGATTTTCAAAGAAGGAACCAAAATTTTGAAAATCTCCAAAATAGTACCTCTACCTCAATAAGAAATTCCTAAGACTGAGCTTTTGTCAATATGATCCAAGCTTAAATGGATTAAATGATTTATCCGAGGATATCTTACAAACTCAATTTGTAACTAGTAATTCAGATTAGGGTGTGGTTTGCATAATAAGGTTGCAACTGTAAACAATCCAATTAAGGCACACCTTTAAATTTTATCTTAAGTGTAATTTTGATATAAAAAATTCTTATGATGGCTTAAGAATCTATTTTCGTCTCTAATTATAAAGTTTTAAACTCATGAAAATGGTTCAAATCCAATAGATCTATAAACTCATGAAAATCTTGAATACGGATGGTCCAGATAATGTGTTGCAAGATACACTATTTTGCGGACTCGAAATTTTTTTTCTTTTCATATTCGTACATCTAAATGTCGGAAGGATCAATAAAAGAGTTTCCAACATCTAAACAACCTTTTATGATGGATTTTTGAGGTGCACCTTTAATTCTACATTTTAAGGTTACAACCGTATATAAACTCTTTCATTCAGATTATAGTGTACATGCTCTCATGTCCCTTATTTTAAAGTGAAATTAAAACAGTATAATTTACAAACTCAGTGTATGACAGGTAATTTGGGTTCGGTCTTTCGGTTGTCTACTTGACCGTTAAAGTAAAATTACCAAAGAATGAGATACCAATAAAAAATTATTAAAGAATAAGACACATGCCCTGTGTATAGCGAGTAATTTAATTTTAGACTGTTGCCCTCCTGACTCTCTCTCTGTCTTATGCATACCTGATCCATGTGCATTGCACGACAATGCAGTAGAATTCAAATTTCCAATTGATTGGCCCTCCAAACTTTATGCTTTTCATTTAATTATTTTATATCTGAATTGGTGGATGGTCAGGAAGCAAAATAAATGGACCCATTGCATGTGTCTTTACGACCATCGAAACTAGGATCCTCTTCTTATCAAAAGTGGACCCACGTTGGATTTGTCCAGCTCCCACTTAGAAATGCCTTCCCTCCACCATTGGGTTGCATATTCGTTGCTACAAATTTTTTACAGGCCCTCTCTACTTTCTTTGACTTTTTGCACCCTGTTGGCATCCCTTTACTCTTCCATCTTCCCCCCCCCCCCCCACACACAACACGCACACGAGATCTAGATCTCTCTCTCTATATATACATCAACTCAAAAACCACTAGAAACAGCCATCTCTCTCTCTCTCCATCTATAAATCCTTAGAGACGATTCTTAGTCAGCTCAAAACAAGCTCTCTCTCTCTCTCTTACTCTACCTCTCTCTCCTGCATGTATAAATCCCTGAAAGTGCTGTATCAGCTCAAACACGAGTAGCTTGAGCTCGCAGCTACCCCAACATAGAAAATGCAGGCCAAGTGGGCTGCATGTGCCCTCCTCATCCTATGTTACCAAATCCACGTAAACTCAGTAGCAATGAATGCAGTGAAGCCATCGGTCTCAGTCGGAGATTTCCAGTTCTCTGAACATATTATCAAAGGTATATAGTCTTGCCTTAAACCTCCATCTCTCTACAAAAACAAGATAGATGGATAGCTCTCTCTCTCTGTCTCTATGGACATGTAGGTTTATATTATTACCAAGTCATTCATAAGATTGGATTTTGAGGAATGTTTTAGAGAACGATTCAGGTTCAAAAGAGACCAAGAAAATATGTGATGATGAAGTGAAGGGGGCAATGAGGCGTGCATTGAAGGCTTTGGCCGGTGGTGGTGCACATGTCATTGGTGGTGGAGGTGTGCGTACTCACCCAACGGATGGACATCATGGGGAAGCATCTTGGCCTTCCCCTAGCTTTTTGCTGGTCCTGATTTGCTCTTTTTCTCTCCTCATTTTGCTTTGAATTCGAACTGTTGCAAAAGGCCAGGTCTATATCTGCAGGAGATTGTCAGTTTTCTTCCTCCTTCCATGTGGTGGTTTTCTTTAGTGGTTTTTTCGATTGTTTCTCTTCGTTGTATTATTTTGCATAGATGTGTCTGTGCTTCTCTCTCTCTCTCTTGTTTCATCACTATTATTTCATGCAGTCTGCTCTTGGGATTGTTTGCTTGTTAGTAAAAGCATTCCTCTGAGTGCAAAATAAAAAAGGTTGAAATAAAAGGCGAAAGCATGTAATTTTGAAAGTTGAAAGTGAAAGCATATATTCACATGCATATATTCTAATAAGATATGATTGTAATATAAGAAACGATACTCTATTCCTTGTACAGAAATTAATAAAAGAGAAATTAAATTTATGTATTTTTGTTTTAAATGTTAATTATCTTTCATTAATATGAACAAAATTGATGTTCAAAGATTTTACACATCAATTTTGTTCATATTAATGAAGGACAATTAACATTTAAAAAGAAAATACAAAATTGGCAGTATCCAATTGAGATCCATTCTTCGCTAGCAACCCCTTATACTTTTATGCACATAATTGACTTCTTTTTTTTCTCTTTCCGCACTTTAATTCAATCATCATCATCTGAGTTTTATTTCACTTAATCCAATAGGCTTATAAAGGCGCTCATTGGGTCCTAAGCATAATGTGGTTATGGCCAACTCCCCTGCCATTATAATAACTCAATACTGGATGCAATTGATACCTTGGACTACGACCCTGAACTGGAACAAAAGAAAAAGCGAGCAAGACATTCCCCTTCTCATTCCTTACCAAACCACCAACATACCCCAGGTTTTTTCTCGCATCAAAATAGAGTTTTACCTACCCATTTGGAGTCTCTGCTACTCGGTTGTGCTACATAAATTAACTTCATTTATGCATCGAGTTCATTGCGGCATAAAACCAAAATTTATTTTCTCCCTCAAGTGCACATATTGGATTCACCCCGTAGGTAAAATCCTATTGAAG